TTTAAATCTCTCTTTCTCTCATAATGAATGTCAAACATTTGGTGAACAGTGATAATCACTAGAATGTCAACATTCACTGATACACATTTTAATTAATACAGAGTATTTTCATACAATCACTAAACCTAGGACTGTGTTAATGTCATTATTTACTGTACATATATATTATTACTAATAAATTCAGCATATATATAAAATGGGCTGTAGATTAGAAACAGGAAACAGAAAGACATCTTTTACATTAAAGGATAATAATTTGAACTTTTATTTACTGAGCAATCTCCTCAAAATCTCAGGCTCCTAGCTATTGGAGAGATTGTGAAAAGCATGGAGATATGATCCCAAATTCTCAGAAAAACTGAAATTCTTGCCCAAAGCCACCAAAGCTCACTGCCTAACTCATTCACTTTAAATGAATGCTCTATGTCTTAAATAGGTTGTATGTACAATAAAATATCAACGCATTGTAGATGAAAGAGTAAAATCACATTCCTAATGTCACTACAGTTACTGCAAAAAGCCTCACTACATGCTTTTCTTTCCTATTTCATTTCATTTCATGTATCAGTTTCTTTAACATTTCAGGATTTCATTATAGCTTTGATCGCCTTCATAATGCCACTTTTAAAATCCTAATTCTCCATACCTAAACGTGTACCTACAAGAATTGCTTATGCAAACTGGCTGTGTGGATCTAGCCATACTGTAAACATGGAATAATCATACAGAATGCATTCCACAGGACTGGAAAGTGATTGTCATTATTGCTGTCCACACACACACACACACCGGGGGTGGGGGTGCTGATTTGTTTTTTCCAATTACTGACCTATCAGCCTAAAAAATATTAATAGCAACTACATACTAATAGCCTGTATGGAAAGTTAATCAACTAGTTAAATCAGGCTTTGGGAAAGAACAAACAGAGTTTGCAACAGCTCGATCTATGGCTGACCAGGAATGTATTTTATAACATGTGGAGGGAAGAGATGCCTAGCCAGCTGGAGATACCGTTCATATTTTTTATCAATTTTAAATAAGCTTTTGGTCTTATCCCTAGGGAAAACTTGTGGAAAAACATTAAGACCACCAATATTGCTAGATGGTTCCTAATACTCATCTGTATAAAAATAGCTGATTGTACATAGGCTATGATCATGAAGGGCCAGTCAACTCCAGTTTAACTCTCAGTTCCTTCTGGGGGATAAGGATTTTCGGATTGTAGATAAAGTGGCCAAGTTCTGCAGTAGCCAGTTACTGCCTCAGACTTTTCGTAAATAGCACTTCTATAACTAGCTGTACTTTAGGATAATGTAGGTTCGTTTTCGTATTCATATGCTAGTAGTCCCCAGGTTGTAGATGAGTTCTGTTCCTAAGAACATCCTTAAGCTGAATTTGTATGTAAGTTGGGTCATGTATTAAAAAGCATATAAAACACTTAAGAAAGACTTCCTTATAGATAATACTGCATTTTAATAACAATACTACAGATAATGAAGAGAGAGAGAGAATCTGTACATGTGTTCATAGATATACAGACCAGTTCTTTAAAAGGGCTAGACAGATATATAGAAAGATAGAAAAAATAGTAAAAAGATTATTAAAGGTTAAGACTTACTGAGCTAACATTAAGCCTAACATTAACTGGGGAGGAAAGGAGGGTGATGGAGATTGGACTGGCGTTGCAGAGGAGGTACCTGGTGCTGGAGGGTGAGGGTTTCATTATGCTGCTAGGAGGCGTGTTTGTTACCCCTGGAGTAGCTTTCTATTCCTGACTTCACAGCTCACCGGTGCTGCTTCGCCTTCGCCTTCCTTCCTCTCTTTGCCATTTGGCACTTGCTGCTCAGTGCCCACGGGAGCCCACATGCCCGATCTGTTTCTAACAGAAATAATTGTTGCCCTGGACTTGCTGATACCTATTCTAAAATGCAGCTGCATTTATCTGAAATGGTTACCATGAGTTTATCTTCATACAAATTCCTGCAACAGGATTGCTCTGAGTTCTCTTGATTTATCAGTTCAAATGATCATATTAGTCTTTAACTGATTCCTAACCACTGGATGGCAGCAAGAGAGTCTCGTGTGCTTTCGCTGTTTCTATTTTTCTTCTGGCTTGCCTACACAACCAGTTTTGAATTTGATGGCATAAAGACAAACACTGCCTTCTTTATTTTAACAAGTTAACAAAAATATCTCCTGATTAAATGCTAAAATTACATCCTTTGACCACAGGACTTGTAAGTCCCACTGAACTCAACAAGCATGCTTAGGGCCAAATTTTACAACACACGTGTCAAGGAGGTCTGTAGATAGGTCAATATTCCAAATCAGTTCCAGTCCCTTCTGAGCTATATAACTCCCAGAAACAGCAAAAACAACAAAGAAGCCAGGTTCAAACATAACTAGAAACCAGGATTTTCTATTACAAGAATAAACTGTGGAAAACCTAATGCTTGCATAGTACCACATCCTCTTTTGTGTATCAGAGGAGATCAACAAAAGTATCCGCTTTGACATTTAAACCTATCACAGTTCCCTGTGACCGCTGAATTAGTAGAACTGTGCTTTATTAGAAACATCCTTTTAGGACAGGGCAGTATCAGGAATTAAAATCTGATTCTTTCACTTTCTCAATAAACACAGACATTCAGTTCCCCAAATACAGACCTAATAAGGAACAGTAACTAGGTAAGAATCATCTCCTGCAGGTATAAACAAGATGAGGAAAGGAAATGAGAGTACGTGATCCTGCATCCTTCTGCAGCTCCTTTACATAGAAGAAAACCATGGTTTCCTATTACACCTGAACTTGTTATACCTCAAAACACTAACAAATAAACTGCACCATAAGCTTTAGTGATCTAGATCCCACTTAATTAAATGCAGGAAGAGCCATTCTCAAAGTGGGTCTAGCCCAGGAAAGATGGTGCTACAACAAACCTTTAACATATTAAAGGAAACAAACTGTCATCTATTTTTATCTTAGTCTCACTCAGACCTACTTATCTTCCCTTGCATTCCTTGAATTTACATTGCCTAATCTTCTAGCAGAGTTGAATATACTCATTCATCTTGTCTCAGATGTTCTGTGAGAATTGTTCATAAAGAGAGAACTTCCTGATACTTAAAAAGAGACCACAACATAGAGTACTCTCTCCCTGTTCCTCTGTTATCACACTTGAACCTTCTCAGTCCTTCCGTCCTTGAACAGCCTTTAATTATAATTAAGGGCTACAAGGGGACCAGGCTTTGCTTTAAAACCTGGTTAATTTCAACCACAGATGAATTATCTGGGTTTAAACCTTCATCAGTTCAGTGTGTTCAAGTCAGAGAAATACTCTTACCTGGAAGCCTTTGAAACACAAGCGCTTCATAATAAAAACCTTTCCACTGCCTGTACACATCTGGAATCATTCACAGGATATGCAAAAATGTCTAACATTAATTAACAAAAATGCTTCCTTATACTGGAAAAATCAGTCATATGAATGCACCCCAACTTTATTTTGGATTACAGCACATCGGGCAACATTCAGGACCTTAAACGAATGGAATGAGCCAAAATACCTATTTCCAGAAAGTCAGTGGGGCAAGTCAGTCGAGCTTGTAGAACTGACATGTCCATTCCAAAAGTGAGCATTTCTGCTAGTTTCTGGGCGGCTTTCGAAAACACTAGCTTCTCGGAGCACTGGTGGTGGATTTCACCAGCACAACAAAACAACAGGTGCTCAGCAGTAGTGCAGGATACTGTCCATAGCATGGAACAGGGTGCTGCACCTGACAGAACACTGAGTCTGGAAATGAAAAATATCAGTACAAATTCCATTTATTGGACTGCACTGTGGTGTACAGTCACTAGTTATCTAAGATAAGCATATTGTCAGCAATCATGTAAGAAATATTAGATGACTAATCACAAGGTAAAATTGATTAAGTGATTAATCAACCAGAGCTGTGGTGATATTCAGGAATAAATCCATAGGAAGTATTGTCTGGGGAACAATGCTTTCTTTTTAGATAAGAAAGCATGTGTTATAGCAGACACAATCTTTGTCTCCTCCTCCAGTTGCTCTGGCACTCTAGTTTTGCATTTGTATTTAAAACCATTAACAAGAGTCCTTAACAATCAGCTAACCAGTTATTAGATGATAACTTTGACTGATTGGTCTAGCAAAGTAGCTAATGCTGTAGTCTTACTGTAGAGATTATAAACATACACACAGTAAATATATTATCATACCTGAGTTTGTACGTCCTCAAGAATAATTTTACCAGGAAGCTCTTCTCCACAATTACCACTGCAAAAGTGCCTTTTGCATAACAGCTCTAATGAACTGTGGTTTTGTTTGGTTTTTGTTTTAATAGTTTTACAACAATTCAGAGATGCTTAAGGAAAGATCCCTGGTAGAGTGTTCCATGAAACTGAAGCTTGCTTAATTTTATTTATTTACTAGAAGTTTGGGAACATTATCTGTTTGTTGTTCTTACCTTGCATAAATGTGTTTTTTATTGTTGTTGTTTTGTAATCTGTTTTAAACAACTCCATGTTTGGAGAGGAAAAACAAGATATATAATCCTTTGATAAATAATTCTGTGATTCCATCTCAAAAGAAAATTTAGAAAGATAAATTTACACTAAATATTAGGTTATAAAGACACCTTTTAGGAAACGTACATAATATATATCTATTGTATGCCAACACCTTTCCAGTACAGATGGAAGGATATGAAGAACAGTATGCAAATACGAGCTGTCTGTTCGTATAGGCAACATATTAATAGCAAAGGTATACAAAGCATTTGTGTTTTCCCATTAAAAGTGTAAATGCATATTTCAATATTATAGCATACTAAAAGATTACAAGTTGAACTTTACCATTCCAAAGCATTTTGTTTTTTGTTTCTGAGACAGTAAGCCTATACATTACAAAAGTTGCACACTTTCCAGCACAAACTGTATACATATGTGTTGTTTAAACTTTGCATATTAAAAGACATACCTTGCAATGTCAAAAGGAAAGCAGAATTTAGGTATGCTCTTGAGTACTTCCTGTAAAAACAGAAGCAAGAATGTTAGCTATATCTTTAGAATTGCTTTAGTACTGTTTGGTTTTAAAATTCAAAAATCAAGCAATATTTGGTTGGAATAAAAAAAGCATATACTGCACGTTCCTGGACTGAAATAATTGATTATTAAAAAGGAATTAAGGTTGTGCTTTGGCAGATTGCAAAGACAATGCCATAGAAACCCCAGGAGGGAAAGGCCTGGCCTGAAGGGTATTAACACCCTTCACATCCCCGCTGGGATTCCCCTTCAACAAGGCCATATGGATTTTACAAGAAGCACGGTACCATATGGGTTGCCCCACGTCTGCGGCTACTTGTACTACAGACTAGCCACAGGGACTTCTGACAGATCCTGGCTCAAAAATACAAATGTTGTTTCAATTAAAATGCAAGCAGAGAAAGGGGAACCAAGTTGGCAGCAAACTGAATTTACTGAGAGCTAAACAACTCTATACACGTTTCATAAGCTAATGCTTTAAAAACCTGGAACTCTTCACTGGGTACAAAGCAGGAATTGTACAATTAACCCTTTAGGACAGTAGCACCAAGTTGGAAGCACAGTTCACTGTCATTTGGAAATATAACGTTCCCATAATTTTACTGAATGTGTGAACTTATTTTCCCCTTTTTCATCTGAGACGGTATTCAGCAGCAATAAAAATGTTAACGTAGAAATGTGCAGTGTTGCTTTGCAAAACTAGGAAGATAAACTAATACAAATGAGTAACCAATAGCAAGTAAAGCTGCAAGGGGTAAACAGCAATATGGTGAAGAATAAACATGCTTGTCAGCATTACGTAGGGCTGCTTTTTATTCCAGAACATGGAATTCACAGAGAAGAAAAGTTGTCTATGGTACCATCTATTTGCATTGCACAGAACAGAGAAACACAGTGGAGAGGACAGTATCCTGCTCTGCTACTTACAATCTGAATTTTGACAGATATGAGAGCAAAAGATAAGGAAGGGGAGAAGATCACATGAAAAGGATGAAGTGCTGTAATAAGTACAGCAGTTGGGGATAGAGACCTATGCATTACATTTCACAGAAGAAGTATGTTTTGAGAATGGAATTGCAGAACTGTCAACTATCAAACATGTGGATTGTTTCAGGTATCAACTTTACACTCCCATCAAAGCAATTATGTTTATACTGTTGCAATCTAAGCTTCCATATAGCCTGAAGTGCCTGATCCCGCCTAATCTTGGAAACTAAGCAGGGCCAGGCCTGGTTGGAATTTGGATTGAGTCCTGCACTGAGGAGGCAGTTGAACCCAATGGTCAGCTTAACTCCTTCCAACTACATGATTCTGTTCACTCTCATCAGGAATCCTTTGGCTTGAATTGAAAACAGTGTTATGGAAGAGCTTGGAAATATGAATTGATAGGTGAACCAGTATCGATGGAAGTCTTCATCACTATAGACATGTTGTCTTCTCACTTCAATTCTTTGTCCTCAGTTCTCATTTGTTGCTTAACAACACCATCAAGCCAAGTTTACAGCAAGCATTATAATTTCTGATAGATTGCACTACCTGCCTTAGCTGTGGATCCTATGCATGTCTACGCAGAAGTCCCATTTATTTCCAGGGAAATAGGACTGCAGCATAAAAAATATTAGCCACATGCTTATGCACATGTTGAGAGCTTTTCCTATTCCTTGTTGTATCAGGTACAGCATCACATATGAAAACATGCTGCATGCAAAACATAAATATTCTACATGTTGAATAAATAGGACAAAAATTTGAATAAAACCACATCATGATTTCCTTCAAATAAGAAGTGGTACATAAATGTTGTCAAATAAATAACTATTAAGAACCAATGTGGTAAAGTGATGAAGAATGCAGGACTGGGACTTAGGAGATCTGAGTTCTAGTCTGTGCTCAGCCATGGAACTTATTAGGTGATTCACAGGACTAGATAAGAGTAAAAATAAAAATTAAAAAAAGATCAAGAGAAAGAGAATTATGTAAGGCATCTTGAGTTCCTTGAATGGCAACAAGACTGGAGATGGATTGATGGACAGACAGATGGATGGATGGATAACAAAACTGCTCTTGTGCAAAGACTCCATGTACCTGGCTGTTGAGCATTTTTATTGAGCTTTATAATCCATCTTCTCAGAGGAAATCTTATAGGTTAAACCAAGCTCGTATATCCTGCACACACGCGCACACACACAGTTTAGTAAGCATGTGGTATAGAATCAATTTAAATATACAATTCATCCCAGGAGAATAACTTCTTAATAGATATACTAGGAACACAAAAGCCATTTGCTTTGGCATCAAGAACAACTTGTGGTCGTTTGCATCTTGATTCAACCCTAATCCACTGTGTTTGCGAAAGGGTATTTTCTTCCCCAGCAGTGCATTCCTGGACTGGGGAAGGCTACAAAAAGGCCTCCGTCCTTAGTTTAGTACAGCTGTAATGCTAGTTCCCTGAAGACCGTGCTTTTGAAAACCAGGACTCTGGATCTGGAACATTTGCTTCCTCTCCCTCCATGAAGCCACTCTTTCCTTCCCTGCCTTTATAGGCTTTAAGAAATATTTCATGTTGCAACCACACTGAGACCAATGATGTTAAGATAACCATGTTCTCTAATAAGCTTGGTTTAAGCACAAGGGAAAACCAAAGTAAGAGCTGAGTTTGAGTTGTCACTGAATTCTTGGTTGTTGTTGGATCATGGCTTGTTGTTAGCTACAGCCCTGCACTATACTTTTTAACCACTGACAACTCTGATTTCACAACCCAACAACAAACTGTTTTCCCTTCCAGGGAAAGAAAGTTCATGGTTAACAACACATAATTAAACTAAAGTGCACACAATTCTCACAACACACGATTCAACAGCAACCACACTTCAGTATGTGAACCAGGCTGAACGTGCTTTAATAACTCATTTATAAATGTGGTTTCAGTCCCATGTTTCATTACAAAAATATAATGGCTTTTATCAACACACATACAGTACAAGACTACAGTTCAAGCCAAGAATGTCGGCAGTAAAATGATTCCAGGGAGTGAAAAAGAAGAAAACCATTCCTGATTTACCAACCAGTGCCATTGGGGAGCACAAGTAACATCTGAATCAGGGCCTTGTAATGCGGTACTTTATGTTTGCAGAAACATCTGCTACTCGTTCTCTTTTACTGATGATAATTAATACCACCTTGGGATGTTAAATATAGAGATCTGCAAGTAAATACAGATATTCCAATTTGATGCCAACTCCCTAAAAAATAAAGAAAGCTGGTGTTAAATAGCTAATCGAATTGTTTAGACTATCACACTGGAGAACACAGAGTTGTGTCTTTCAGCAGAATACAGTTCTGACTTATATTCCTTCCATAGTGCCTAACGGAGTTTCCCATCCACAGAGCACCTCGAAACTATACCTAGTACATATTTCTTAGCAATATCGGTTAAGAAGTGCTGAAGACTACATCACTGAGGAACTGGATTTGCAGAAAGTCATAACATTCTGGCTATATTTCTGCACCCCAACCCAAAATAAGTATGTATGGAAGGAGAAAAAAACTGTTACTACTCTTTCACTGTGACGGATAAATGCATCAGACCCTTCTGCAGCATTGTAAGAGGCAGATGAACTACAAGACTTTCCCAGTGCTGTCTCCCTCCCCCCTACCCTCAATCAGCACGCGTGCATACACACACACACTTCTGTGAAACACAGCCTCAGCTCGCTTGCCAACTGGCAGGATCATCCCTCGGGGGACAAGTCTTTAAACCTCCGCACTCTTTAAAATTCAACCAGCCAGCAGGTCTATAGACTGGTGTATAAACAGTACGGGGGGGGGGGAATCCTCTCGGCTTATGTCAGTGACAAAGCAGCTCAGCAGTTGACTATTTCTCCCCTGACAGTATAAGCCAGGTTTACACAGATCAATAGATGGAAGCCTAGCTAACTTGCAGGGCTCAGTTTTCTGCCTTAATTACAGGTGTTATTCACATTTAAAAATGAATGAAAATAAGATGCTGTCCAGAAGGATCCTAAACACCTAGAGTGCAATGGGATGAAAATATTCATTACTTCAAGTAGCAAAACAGAATACTTTTAAGAAAGCGTTATTATGCATTTTAAGATTATTTTACACAGCACTGACATAGTTTGTGTGATGGGACATTGTTCTACAAAGGATACATTTGCACAAAGGATAAATTTGCACTTACAACATGTCTTAGCAGATAGACTAAGTTGACATACTGGTAAAGAACTGCTGTTTCTTCTGCTGTAAAGATGGACTGAGTTGGTAATTCTATGCTAATGAAAAAACAATATCTTGAAATCTGTATACAGAAAAGATGCCTAGTAGGTGTAGTTTTTAGGCTATGTCATTGAATCATCAAGTTTTTTCTCAGACTATGTACTGCAACCAAGTGGAAAATTTACAATTATATCTAAAGAACTAGGCTGTCGGACCAGCTCGTCACCACTTTGCTGGTTAGAAATGATTTAAAGGGTTTGTTATCTAATTAGTTATTGTTAAACAAAACTGAACACTGTCCCACTACAAAGAAAGATGTAGTTTCTTCAATGTGTGTTTGTTCTAAGATGTACAGCATTAACTTCTAAAGCACAAAGCTGAAACAACAAACCATTCCTGGGGTTAAAATATCTTTTTAATCTAGAATATAGTCTTGTAGAATACAGAAGTATCACAAAGACGGTACTGATTGATAAAGTATGACAGATTAAAAAAAACTCCTTTAAAAAGATTTCTCCCCACTTTCTTCCTGTTTCCAATTTGAATTCACTTTGACTTAATATGTTGGTGAATTGGAAAATTTCCTTTGAAAGGAGATCTCTTTGTATGATAATTTTCCAGATATATGCACACATCTCTTCACCTCCTCCTCAAGTATTTCACCAACAAAGGCGGAAGAGGAGCTGTCCAAAGCTGAGAGAGGAAGGAAAACAAGTTTCTCAGCTGACCCTTAGGAGTCTCATATCACT